GTGGAAGAAGACGACTCTGGCTGGGTTGTTGAACAGGTTGGAGGAGGACCAAAGGCCAGAAACCCAGGTTACTTATCTCCTTTCCCAAGCCTTTCTCTTCCCTCTAAATCTTACTTCCTGGAAGATAGGAAGGAGTCATAACTGCACAAAGATCAGTTGTTGCTGTTCCATAAAACACATCAGCAGCTTTCACTTTGTTGACTTTAGACATTAGTTTAAAAACAACTTCTTCAACATTACTTGCCCTCTACCTCCTGCCCGCTTCCCCCCCGTTCATCTTCCCTCCCACCCTGAACGCCCCCCACAGCACACCCGAAGACCGTCTGCACCTGCCATCCCCAAGGTGCCGTGGAACAGGACAGAGGGAGGGGCTCTAGGGAGCCTTCGAAGGAGGCAGGGGCGTGCAGGGTGGCTCCTAATAGTCAGCCGGAAGCCTCACGTACCACATTTGTGCAGCTTTTCTGTACGTGATGGGAAATACCCATTGAGATATTAATTCCCCTCCAGTTTTAAAAAAATTTTTTGTTCTTTGCTTTCGGCCAAAACAAAACAAAACAAACAAAAAAACACCACTCACAAAGCTGTTGTGCCGAGTATTCACGCTTTGAGGACAGATTTCCGAGAAAGAGCAGACCTCGCCACCCTCTGCTAGCACACCTCAGCTGTAAAATGGCAGTCACGCTTCCGGCGTCATCGGGCTGCCGAGGGGAGCGAGGGAGAGAGCTGGCTGTGCTGGCGGCCGGCAGGTAAGGTGCCAGGACTTGGTCACAAGAGTCAGGGTGTTGGCCAGTGGCCTTTACGTGTGCCCTGACGTGTCAGATGTGAAGATGACAGAACTAAAAAAAAAAGGAAAGGAAGAAAGCTTTCAGGCTGCGTATCTTAGAGATAGAGGAGGATTTACTGCCAGTTATTTACAAGATTGTCCATCAAGTCTAGCTCGGGTTTTAGAGCCGTCAGAGAATGTACAAAGTATGTACACCTTCCTCCACTGCGCCAAGAGGTGGCAGCTCTTTTAGGGCTGCAGCAAGGAGTAGTCCTATTAACTGAGTTAATGCTCACTGAGAGATTGTTGTGGTGAAGTCACCCTTTAGATTTATTTACCAGAGCCGTGCTGCGCGTGAGGTGAATTAGGGATTTAGATAAATATGCAAACTAAGCAACAGCGCTGCTCTGAGTAAGTTCATGGGGTCATAGATCCCAGAAACTCAAGTCATCCAGCAAGTATTGAGCCGCGGCTGTTGGGGAGGAACAGAACTGATCGGATGGAACAATTTAGGGAACTGCGGCTGTTCTCCACCCTTTCTGATACTTGAAACTTGGCACCTAGCTTTTTACTTTTATTTCCACATTCCACGTGATTAAATTGGCTCTCAGAATATTCACTATTATTACATAGAGATTTTCACACTAAATTCTTACTGTTTCTCACTATGAAATACATCTCTACATTTATTTTTCACATACTTGAAGAAACTGATCTCTCAAGTGCTATACCTGGTTCGGTCTCCCAATTAGGGAGGAAAAAATACAGGTGCACGGCAGCAGAGGGGTTGATGGGAGGAGGGAGTCCTGAGCGCTGAGGGACCTAACAAATCAGGGGTGCGTTAGGACTGGTAGGCCTGCCCCTGTGTCAGAGAACATCTGCCCTGCTGTCTGAGTCATTTATGGGGCTTTCAGCTCTTCAGATACATAGACTCTTGAAGTCCTAAACTCATGTCTTTTTTTTTTTTTTTAAGATTTATTTTAGAGAGAGAGAGGACGAGAGGGGGAGAGGGAGAGAGAGAGAAGCAGACTCCCCGCTGAGCAAGGAGCCCCACGCAGGGCTCGATATCACGACCCTGAGATCATGACCTGAGCTGAAATCAAGAGTCAGACACTTAACCGACTGAGCCATCCAGGTGCCCCCTAAACTCATTTCTTAACCTCTGTTTTGAAAGCTTAAAAGAAAGATTCTCATTAAGATTTCTGCCTATGCCAATTTCAGGTTTTCTCTGTAGCAGTTTACAAATAAATTATGGAAATACTAGAAAAGAGAGCACTTCTTTCTCAGAGCAGTGTTGCAGGATGCATCACATGGATGGGAAAGATGAATTAAAAAGTTTACCATGGTTTGGAGTGCATGCGTTACTTATTAATGAGCATTAATCTCATTACATCCGAAGTAGCTACTGTATCCCTTCCAAAATTTTCTGAGGGGGAGCTTAGTAGAATGCAGTCATTTTCCATTCAAAACTCATGGATCAAATGTATTCTTATATATTAAATCATTTTTCTGGAATAATTCCATCATTTGTAATGACTGAATCTTGAGTTACTGAAAAATTTTTGTTTCATAAAATGTCCATTTGGCTAGAAGACAATTACGATGGTAGATTTAGAAATGCCATTTTGACAAATAATGAAATAAGTTATTTAAACTCAAGTGATTATTAGATCCTTTAGACTTGGAATGCTGTGGGATTATAAAAACCAGTTTCAGCTGAAATTAAGCAGCTGTAAGTCTAACTGTACATTTTGGTGGGAAAGATTATTTTCGAGATTAGAAAATGGCTTCTCATTCCTGCTCATCATATGAACTTGAGTTATTTAACTTTTCTGTTGCTGTTTATTTGTACATTGAGTAGTAATCTTGTTTACAATACAGAAATGTGAAGATTAAGGAAATGAAAAACTTATGAATAAATGACTTATTGACCCATTTTGTGCAGAAATGAGGTGGTTAGGTGCTGGACGACCCCGTGGCAGTGCTCCCATAGCTGCCTGCATGTCACTGCAATTTATAATGTGACTTATGGGACTGCCTTGATCTTTTCAAATATGGAAAAACCTGAAGGGCAGGAGCTCTGTCTTCTTATTCATCAGGTGCAGAGTGGGTACTAAGTAAAGACTGAACCAAGACATTCCTGTTCCCCAAGTTGGAATTCTCTACACCTTCTTTTCTCCCCCAGACAGTTTTTATTGGACTTTTGGCTTCTATAGTATTTTTAGTATAATACTAATATCAGACATATTGTATTTTCACATTCTTTTGCGGGTGCTGGGTGAAGGAAGAATGTCATTGGCTAACCAGGTGTTGTCATAATTTTAACCGTAGGTAATGATTTCAGTGGTTTCTTTTAAAACCCATTAGAAGTTTAGATAACCAGTTTATTAAGTCTATTTTTGGCATTCAATCTGGTTATAATTTGGAGACTGTCCATTTAAGCTTCTGAACATTCAGATACATTCCAAGATAAAGGAGGCGCTCTACATTAGGAAAACCATGTGAAGAGGCTCCACATAGATTCAGGTGCAAATGTGATCAGTTGGTTCTGTGGTCTCTGGTATAGAACGGAGGTTGGGAGTGATGGAAACTAACAGCCCAGGGATCTCAAGGTGAGAAGCTTCAACTGTCTCTCAGCACGTCTTTGTTGTTTTTCTTTTGTTGTTGAGCTTTTTCTCTAAGAATATCAGGGATTTTTTTTTCCCCTTCTCTGTGCTAATGCAGTGGTCACCAATAATAAAATAGTAAAACAGTGCATGTTTTTAGGCTATGAAATCAACAGTCCCTGAGTAATTTGGAAGTTTTACAACACTGGCCCTGCAGACATTGTTTTTTCATGCCCTTTCTCCCCACGTCCTTGTTTTCCAATTAAAGTCGACTAAAGTGTGTATGTTTTATTCATGGGGAAGTTTTTCTCAATTTTTATTTCTAATAGGATCATTTTGTACTCTTGTAGCTTTTCAGGAATCTCCGTTTAGTTCATAGTTTGGGAACAAGTCCTTAAAAGGAAATGACTTTCTCTTTCATTCTTAAAATGTATGTGCAACACGTTCCTTTTGTTTTGTTTAAAGCCAAGGAGGGATGGCTGTAGGTACATATCTGTGGGACCCTGTGTAAGAAGCAGGAACATAGGTGTGCACCTGTAGCAGGTGGGGCTGAGTGAGTGTGCGCTTTCTGCATGTGCATGTGGTAAAGGGTGGGACCCTGGGTGAGAGAGTGCTTTTCCACAGGTCTCAGCCACCTTTGCAGCCAGTCTGGTCAGCAGCCCAGCCATTGGAGCATACCTTTCAGCCAGTTACGGAGACCGCCTCGTTGTGCTGGTGGCCACAGTGGTGGCTCTTCTGGACATCTGCTTCATCTTACTGGCTGTTCCAGAATCTCTGCCAGAGAAAATGAGACCACTTTCCTGGGGAGCTAAGATTTCTTGGAAACAAGCAGACCCTTTTGCGGTAAATATCCATTTCTTTCTCCAGTAAAAATAAAAACAAAAATTTAATTGCACATAAGGCCTGAAGGTGTCTGTGCACCAAGGAATGTATAGAATTTATATTTCTTTCCTTTTTAAATTTTTTTTATTAGGGAGGAAGAGAGGGATGGGCAGAGGGAAAGTGAGAGACTCTTACGTGTTCCACGCCCAGCGTGGAGCTCAACTCGGGGCTCAATCTCATGAGTCAGACACTTAACCGACTGAGCCACCCAGGCACCCCTAGAATTTATTTTTAAGACAGGTGGGTGATAGGTATCCTAAGGAAAGAGAGAAAAAAGGTCCTTAATCCCTGATGAGGGTTTAGGAAGGAAGTGGTTTTTTTCTTATTGCATGGTGGTTTTCATTTTTTTTTTTTTTTGGTAAACAAAATGAAGGTGGCTGTTTGAAGTGTTCATTTTCATTCAGTTAAATTCAGAAAAGATGAATAGATTTGGTCTGACTAGTTATTTTCTAGGTTGTTAATATACATCCACTTTGACCAGAGGCTTTGAACTTGTATTTTGCAGGTTGAATGGATTCTTTGTTTCCTGTAACTTTTTAAAATTTGGGGCATTTTTTTTTTAAAGAATTTTATTTATTTTTCAGCAGAGAGAGAGACAGCGAGAGAGGGAACACAAGCAGGGGGAGTAGGAGAGGGAGAAGCAGGCTTCCCGCGGAGCAGGGAGCCGATGCGGGACTCGATCCCAGGACCCTGGGATCATGACCCGAGCTGAAGGCAGACGCTTAACGACTGAGCCACCCAGGCGCCCAAATTTTTGGCATTTTTAATTTTTTTTTGGAAGGAGTCTATTAACAAAAAGTACTGAGAAGAAGAATCTTATCCCTCCCCTTTTCCCACTTTATCTGACTTGAAATTGTTCTTGAAGAAAATATGTGCAGAAAAAATTACCAGAGATTTGATTGCTGTTTTTAAACACCTTTTAGGAAAAATGTGTAAAAGAAAAATAACTCATCAAATTTTTTTCCAGAAAGATCCCTCAGGTCATGACCTGGGGACCCTGCTCGTTTTGTTTGTGCCATGATGTCAGACATTGAGAAGGAGGTGCTTAGAGAAGGAACCCAGGCGTGGACCCAGGGGCCCGTCAGGTCTCCCACTTTCTTGTCATGTAGTGATCAAGTTATGCATGGAAACTCCGACTGCTGCCGTGTACTCTTCCAGGCCTACCGCAGGCAGCCAGTCCCCATAGATGTGAGATGCTTTTGCTGTTCACACATGAGGGTTACAATTACGGTGACCCTAGGATGCACTGAAGCACTCCCCAGTCCTTAGAAAACAACACACCTTTTGGTCTTCTCAGAAATTCTGTGTAAAAAGAGATGTAAGAAGGACTTTTAGGCAAAGTTGTAACATTCAAAAGTTACTGGTTAGAGAATCTTGTCACTGACCCCATGACTGGAGTGTACTTATTTGTCTACCAGTTTTACAGGCAAATTGAATATTATTAACATTTTAAAGAATATAGTAAATTTATATTGTAAAAACCCTGAACTCTTTATGGATTTAAAAGGGTTGTATTATGAATGAAAGAGAGATGAGATTTTCTTAAAAGGTTCTGGAACAATGTTTTTTCAGGGTCTGTTCATAGGATGTGAACCAGTATGGTTAACAAAGATGAGCAAGTATTTGTGGGGGAAACTTGTTTTGGTTTTAAGCTGTAATACTTTAAACATAGAGGACTTGTAACCACAGCGTTAACGTTTACCTGCTTTTGTAGTCCCTTCAACTTTTATAATTCACCCTAACAGAACAAAACAACGAAGCCAATATCCTGGAATATTAGTGACTTCAGTGTCGCCTGCTTTTTACATGTTTCTCTTTCTGCTTATTCCTAGTCACTGAAGAAAGTTGGAAAAGATTCTACCGTCTTATTAATTTGCATCACTGTGTTTCTTTCATACCTTCCTGAAGCTGGACAGTATTCAAGTTTTTTTCTCTATCTCAGACAGGTGGGTAATGTGTGCCTAGTAGGTTTAGAACATGAAGAAAACCAAAGGTTAGGATCTGTTGAAAAGTATTGTGGGGAAAACGGTATATAGAGAAAAAAAATGTGTGGAGTTGCTTCTAGTTATAGTAAGTATAGGCGCTGACATATAATTAGAAGTCGGGGGACCTGTAATATGATATTTTAAAATATTGTAAAATGTTTAATCTGGGAAAAATTTCCTTGAGAATTAGCATAAACACAGTTTATCATAATGTTTTAAATCTTCATTAAATTTCAGAGAGAGGTCAAGTTTGTTTGATGGGACCTGACCTGGGACATCTTCAGTAGGCCATATAACTCAGTGCTGCTGTAGACTTCAAGGGGGCTCACAAGCAATAATCAAGGCAGCTGACTTAAGGCAGTTTCAGAACAAGCTCCCTTTCCAACTGTTGTTTCAGTTTCTCTGGGGTTGCAGAGACACGAGGTCCTTCCATAGCAAATCCTGCCCTGGTCTTTTACTGATTTCCCTGGAAGTCCTTCTCGGGGCTTACTCCACGTGGCAGAGCAGGCCTCCTCCTAAGATAAATTCCTCTATTTCTGGGGATATTTTTAATTGAAACTTGTTAAATTCACCCATCTCACAATTTTCCTGAAAGTGTGAGACTTAATATTTTATATGGTGGCATATAAGTAAAACTGTTTTTCAACCAGTCCTTTTTCAGTTTTGCTCATCTGGGGTGGGCAGATGCTGGAGATTTAGTGGGAAGACTGGTGAGGTAGCACGTTTAATGTAGAAAATTATATGTGCATTTGTAATTAAATTATGCATTAAATTAACTGCACTTAATGTAGGAAAAATGGGAAAGCTTAGGGAAGTGAAAAATCCTCTCATTCCTTCAGAAAAAACAACTATGGATATTTTCTTTTTCTACCCTTTTTTCCTGTATGTATTGCTTATGGCACCAGCACCAGCACTTAACAGTTAATCAGAATCATTTTCGGTTGTTCTATATTTGTGCTTTTAAGAGCAGTTCACACACACACATTTGAGTTAAAATTGGTATTTGTAAATCATATATGTGATAAGGAACTTGTATCAAGTATTAACTTTTGTAAGTGAACAATAAAAAGACAACCCAACTGAAAAAATTCAGAAAAAGATTGAATAGATACCCGTCCAAGGAAGCACATGAAAAGGTGCTTAACATTAGCCATCAAGGAAATGCAAATCAAAACGAGGTGCTTCTTCACACCTGCTAAATAAGACGGCTGTAATCACAGACAAAGGTGTGGGGAAAGGCAAATTCTCACCCATGGCTGGTGGGGATGTAAAATGGGGTGGGAGAGAGTTGGGCAGTCCCTCAAGTGTTCAAACTAGGGTTTCCAGCAAATCTATTCCTACGTAAGTAGCCAAGAGAAATGAAAACACATGTCTCCGTAGAAACTTTTATACAAGTATTTATAATAGCCAAAAAGGAGAAACAGCTGATGAAATGTATTGACAAATGAACTGTATGGCAGGATGTTACTGTTTGGCAATAAAAAGCAGTGAAGTGCTGGTACCTGCTGCAGCATGGACAACCTGTCAAAAGATGCTAAATGAAAGAAACCAGGACCATATATTGTTTGATTCCATTTACATGAAAGGCTCAGAAAAAACAAAGGCAGAGACAGGGAAGTGTATCACTGGCCGGACAGAGGAACAGGCTGGAGGAATGGGACTCCTGATGGGGTACCATGTTTCTTTGAGGAGTGATGACATTTTCTACAATTGACTGTGGTGATGGTTGCCCGACTCTGTGAATATTCTCAAACCACCGAATTGTATACTTCTAATGGGTGAATTGTAGGATACTTAAGTTCTTTCTTCATGCTTTAAATATGTATATGTTTATATTTACAAATACAGGCTGAGAAATAAGGCTACTTTTCAGGTTCCAATTTTTTTTAGTTGGGTTTCATTAGCAAGTAATAGGCTATGTGCCAGCAGCACTGACTTGGAAACCTGAGATTCTAGCTCTTTTATTAGCTAGTTATAGGGGTACCTGGGGTGGCTCAGTCGTTAAGTGTCTGCCTTCGGCTCAGGTCATGGTCCCAGGGTCCTGGGATCGAGCCCCGCATTGGGCTCCTTGCTCAGAGGGGAGCCTGCTTCTCCCTCTCCCACTCACCCTGCTTGTGCTCTTGCTCTGTCAAATAAATAAATAAAATCTTAAAAAAAAAAAAGATTATTAGCTCGTTGTGTAACTAGAAGCAAGACAATCATTTATTAAATGAATAGAAGGCATACAATAATTTTTAAGTCCTTTTCCTGATTTTTATAGGATTTCAAAAGAGGGCAAAAATACTTGACTTTTTAAAAACTTGGTATTTAAAACCTAAAGTTTTAGGCCTTTCAGAGCTTCTGTTAAGGTTGAGAGGCTTATAAATTATTGCCAGCTCACTTTGCTTCTCGAATCACCATGGAAGCTTTTTAAAACATGCCTGTGCCTGGGCCCAGAGAGTCTGAATTTAATTAGTCTCAAGTAGGTTACAGCATTTCAGTGCTTACCCGCCTCCCCTTCTCTGTTGCCCACATGATTTTAATGTGCAGCCACGGTTGAGAGCCACTGACTTGGCTAATGAGCAGATTCTCTGTTGGTAGCACCAAAAGTCAGATCATTTTCTTCATGTTCTCTCTAGTGTTTGGTGATGTTATATTTGTCTCTTGGTGGGTTGGAGATGGGGATTATTTTTTATATTATCTATAAAGTGTTTTCTTTCCATTTCCACAGGTCATAGGTTTTGGATCTGTTAAGATTGCGGCATTCATAGCTATGGTAGGAATTCTTTCTATTGTGGCTCAGGTGAGTGTCATTTCATCCATTTTTTCTTTATCATTTTTATTTGGAGAGAACTAGATTTACGGGAAACTGCAAAGAAGTAAATGTTCATGGGGAACCCCTGCACCCCTCTGTCAGTACCCCTCTCCTCCCCTGCCATGGTAACATCTCTTATATCTGTGGTGTACAATATCAGACCCAGTAAACGGGCATGGATACAATCTATAGAACCATCTTTTTTTTTTTTTTTTTTTGGGAGAGAGGCGGGGGGGGGGGGGGGGGGGGGGGGCAGAGGCACAGAGAATCTCTGACAGACTCCACAATGAGCTCAGAGCCCAACACAGGGCTCGATCTCATGACACCAAAAATGACTTGAGCCAAAATCAAGAGTTGGATGCTCAACCGACTGAGCCACCCAGGCACCCCAGAACCATCATTTTTAATAGAATGTTGAGATTGTAATTTAGGAGGAATTTAATACAGCTTTTCAGTACTTTTTAGGATACCTGTTACCTCTACTGGTCAGTTCAGCAAATAACAATTTGCTTTTACAATCACCAATAGTCTAACTCCATATACTGCAAAATAAGCTTAAAATAAAGAAGCACTCTCCTGGTTAATGAGGAAAGTTTAGTAGCAGTGGAAAACAGAAATGAAATCAGTAACTGTTCCAAACCCTGCTATCCCCAGGACTGAAGAGGTGTGGTAATGAGTGCATTAGAACATATGAAATGAGTAAACATTTCCCCACCCATTATAAATATAGGACCACAAAAGGCAGGGTATATGACCTTTAAATGAACTCACTGACATGCCTGGGTGTATTCACGGTATCACATGGAACTGCCTAGAGGCCACTCCCTGAAACGGCTTCATGCTGCTTTATAGCATGGGGCCCAGCAGAGTGCTCTTCAAGGAGAAACAAGAAGGCTATGAGACTGTTTTGCCCAAACGTTAGAACTGACAAGGCTCAAAGGACTCCATCAAGGCAAAAAAGCCTTTTATTTTTTCTTACCGAACTTTTTAGTGAATGTCAATTATGTTGAACTTTCAAGTTGCTCATGATTTTGGTTTGCATTTATAGCAACTCTGGTGAGTCCGTTAGCCAAAACTCTTTTATCCTCTGCCTTTATAGACTATCTGAGCTAGTCGTTTAGCAGACTATATATCTGTTAAAAGTCAAATTTATATTAGTCCAACTTTCTGACACCATGAACTTCCAGCAGAATCCCACATAGTCTGTAAACGTTCAGCAGGGGTTTGCTCTTCCCTGGTGGTGAAGTGATTGGCATTTCTCCAAAGCATCTGAGTCGTGTGCTTCTCAATCACGATTAATTGGTGAACAGCTATGATGACCTTTGGCAAGTGCTAGCAAAGCATTAGATAAACAGGCTTTGGGGAGGGCTCTGAAGGTTAGCCTCGGAACCTCCACAGCTCGACTCGAAAGCTCCGTAAGTACTGCGTGGCTTCCCCGCTCTCAGGCCAGACTGTGTACCTGTAGAGGCCCTTGGTCATTGTAAATGGGCTCCCCTCATTAAGCTGGCATCAAATCTGTGCAC